TCACAGCACACCGACTCAAAAGAAGGAGGAGACTGAACATGAGCACTACTTAGCATAAGAAGTGAGAGAATCATTGAACCAATAGAAAACAGACTACTACTTAATGAGAGCACTATGTAACTTGTAGCCAATGAATACTGATACTTTTGTTTACTAAAATGTATAAGTAAAGCAAAGTTTTGATGATGGGGAAGCTAGCCTTTTGTGGGTTACCACCTAGCTCCCTACTTTGCACAAACTAGAATAAAGAAATAGCCACCTCGCCTCGGTGTGTGAACTGGCACTGCACACCGGGGAATGAGCCCACTTGCAGGGCCACAACCCCAGCCAGGCGCTGCCCAGAGCCCACTCACTGCAATGGCTTGCAGACACTGGTACACCAGCAATGCTTGTGTCTGCCCCGCTGCATTCCCAAGGGTTTACATTGCACGGGAAATTGGGAGTTTCAACGGTTTCAACGGTGCCAAGTGGGAAAGAAATCACTCTCTGGCTGGCTTTGCCCAAGCTGCAGGTATACAGAGAGCAGGTGCTGCGACAGGCCAGGCCAGGTGTTAGGCAAGCTCTTACTCAGGACTGTTTGCCTCCCTGGCCCTCAACATACTGTGCTTAAGCACTACCTTTTCCTAGGAAAGCCACTTTTTACCCAGATCTTACTCCTGGCCTCTTTACTTGGCATTTCTTATCTACATGCAACAGGACTTTTAGTGCTGCTTTCAGGGCTTGGAAGATAAAAGCCTGTGAGGGTGCAGCTATTTACCCCCAGGCCAACAGTTACTGCAATGAGTGTATGAAATGAGGATGGTCTGAATTCCACGAGGAACCTAAAACTGTGTCACACTGGGACTACATGTACAGAGGATCAAATTCTGTACTCATTCATCTCAAACATGAAATAGAAATAATGCTGGAGAACTTAGTACTTTTTTTCTTTTACACACAAGTGTGTTCAACTCAACCTGCTTCTGATAAATCTTGGGGTGTGCTGTGTAAGTAGTCATACTGGAAGAAATCTGTCATTTGTCCTTTATACTGAAATTCTGCAGATTGGGATTTTGAGAGTGACACACCTTACTTTCCATCTTTTCTCACTCATTTCTGACCAGTTATTTCCTCATTAGAAAGACTTCAGGAACTCCCTTGGCCTCCTCTCATCTACATTTCCTTGTGAAAACTTCCACAGTCACATTTTCTGAGCCAGTTATGAAGTTTTAACTCTTGTAAAACTTCCATAGTCTAACATAACTTGCCCTGCACACAGAGTTTATGCTGACATTACTATGCTGGTTGTTTCAAATACGTCACAGGATGTTTCAAAACTCTTTCCGTTCCCTCTCAAACATGCTGCATTACCATAGGCTAAAGCACTGATCTATGCCACAGCAGCTTTAATTACAGTCATTACACAACTGAAATAAGGAGGAGCTCCAGAGAGCAACTCAAGCACTATTCACAAAGCTAACGAGCAGGAAGTTTAAAGTCTGAATGTCTCCTACATATATGTGATATTACATAAAAGGGGATTGGCAGACGAGGAGATACAGAATTTAAAGGTGTACACCATAAGTTCAACATATGGGACAGTTAATGATTAGCACGTGACAGTGTGCTTAGCATAAAGTAATGAATCAATTAACACATGATAGGAAACCTTAACGCTTTGCAGAACATATGAAAGAATGCATATGGGAGTGATTAGAGGCAGACCTCACTCAGAGCCCTGGGATTCAATAACTATGCTCCCATTTGTACAGCCACGTGTTCTGCAGGATGTGGGACACATCCAATCTCATAATTACTCTTGTCCAAAAAAAAAAAAACCACCACAAAAAACCCACCCACCTTCCAAATTAATCAGATCCCCAAACCAGATGGAAGTGGCACAGCACACAGCCAAACAGGAGGGCACAACTGCCTGTTTCGACAACACTGTAGAGTTAGGTCACCTTAAACCAGTCATGTACTTACTTGCTGTTTGATCCCTGTAGACAGCCTAGAGCTCCCTCTGCCATAAGTTTGTTTACTTATTCAGGTGGCTAGATAAAAACCTCAGCATTCAAATGAGCTCCAGACCTGGGCAAGATTGGAAGGTGGTGGGGGGGGGAATGGTTCTCCCAGAGGTGGAATCAGATATGGGCTCTGGAGGAGTCATTTGTGGCCATGAGATGAGTGGCCAAGATAGTAAGAGAAGTTGGGTCCCCAGAGTGGCGATAGTGAGCGGGGGAAACACCAGCCTGGAAAAAAGCAACAGCAAATAGCCCCCAGCATGAACATAGCTCTACTGGTATAATGGTGTCTAACACCAGCTGTTTCTCTTTCCATATGGAAATAGCAGAAAGACTATCTATAAATAATGAGTATGTATCAGTACCAATAAAACTTCACCAAAATTGGATGGATATTGTACGGCTTTCATCGTTGCAAAATTACCAGGAAAAAAAGGCCTGCAGGGGTAGTTAGGCCAACACAGGCATAGCTGGGAACTGTAGACAAGCTTTTGGCACAAAATCCTTCTTCAGGTCTGAAATGTATGGAATAGATTTTTCGGAGGGTAATTAGATACGTAGGAGTCAGACCACCCTGAACCTAAAAGCCACCAATTCCTACAAAGAAGGGACAGTAGCGGAAAGGCAGGAGGAGAGGAAGAGAGGTTAAAAAACCTGCAGCTGTGCATACAAAACAGTCTCTTAACACCAGGGCTTCTTAGGAGTGTAGGAAGAGGCCACCCGCTCCCTTTTTTTTGTCCTGTATTTCTCATCGTCTCTTCTTCGGTCATTTCTGCACATCCTTTAGCTCTGCTGATTGTCTTTCCATGCCATGTTTCTGCCCGCTCTCACCTTCCACAACCCCAGGGGTTTTACAAGTCCTAGCAAGCAGTATTAATTAATTTCTGCTACAGTGTAGCAACATCTCGTGTCAATTATTTTGTCAGTAACAACTAGGCAATGCAAATATAATCAACTCCTGATGACAGGAGTTGACTTGAAACCATTAGAAGTCCTCTAGGGGAAGAAACAGTTTTATACTGATAGCAAAAAGGCACCAAAAAAAAAAAGAGTTAACAATGGTTCAGTTGTTTGCTCTACTTGTTTTGCTAGAAAAACATTTTAGAAGTACTGTTTAATATCATGTTCTGTTCTGCTCACTAGACCAAAGTCCTTATTATAGAAAGGAGTAGTATACACAAGGTAATAAATTAAGTAAACTAGACGTTTGAATAAGACATAGAAGGCCCAGAGCCAGGATTTTGCAAACTTGAAGAATTCAGGTCACCTAACAAAGAAAATTGAAGAGGTCAAATCGAGGAAGAGGGCAGTGGTGACCACCACCAGAGGGATGAAGGCTCAAGGAGAAGACCCCCACAGCAGAAGACGGCGCATATCCAAAGAGATTCTGAAAAGACTCCGCCCAGAGACTAGCCTACTTATTAATATGTACGTTAGATGACGTAACCACGTATCTAAAGTATATAAAATGGCTTGCTTTTGAACTTTCAAGCTAAGCAAGTTTGTCCAGCGCAAGCTGGCTTGCTCCCAACGCCGAATAAACAAATACCTTGTTGCTTATAGATGAAAAAGTCTCAGAGCAGTTAATCATTCCGAGGATTTTCGGCATCAGTACAGGAGAATAAAATAGCAGATAGTATTCCATTAAATCACAAAAAGTGTAAATAAGCTGGAATAACAGAATAGTGGATAACAGAACAAACTGGCTTGGCAACAGCGCCGAGAAGAGTGCCTGGCTCAATTCCTCAGCCAGGAAGCACATACAACAAACATCAAAGCAGGTAGAATGAAACAAGGAATAGCAGTGGAACACACTCTGACGTTATTGGTACACTCATCATTTAATTTCAGATGAATTAAAACCGCAAGCCAAGGCTCAGGATCATGTAATCCAGCAGCACTCACACACACACTTTGCAAATACTACAGCCTAAGTGCTGAGCTCAGGGACAGCGCTGGACAGCTCGCTTAAATAAACTCTGACAGGGACACCAGCTTACATGGGACAATGGGGAGGGATAAATCTGGAATGAAAAAGATGAGCTAAAGACAGCAGTGATTAAATTAAACATTAATATTAGTGAGTGAATTACATGGTCAGATTAGAGCCAGAGTTTTTTGGGGGGATTGCTGGATGGACATTTACAGAGATTCTGTTGAGCGTTTCAGTTTTATTTGACTGCACAAGAGTGGTTTTATGGTGTCCTTAGGATTGGGGCTTGTCCTGGGGAAAAAAAATAACATTAAAGCACTATAAAAGAGAGTGGATCCCTGGCAGCAAGTTCAGGTGTGTGCAGAGCTGGAGGAAACTGGATTGCTGGGAGGTCTGTGTGGTGGCAGCCGGCTGGGGGACTGCAGCTCTCGCTTTGCAGGCTTTCCACAGCTTAGCCCCGCAGCCAAAGCCACAGCTGTGGGACACCCGCCAGCTCCAGCAAGGCACAGACCAAGGGGAAACCCTCAAACTAGGATGAAGGGGAGAGGGACCCTCGATTAAAAAAAACCCTGGTTGAGACACGATGCAACAGAACACAAAATAAGAAAGAGAGCGTCCAAAGGAGGGCAACGAGGACAGTGAAGGGTCTGTAGTGGGAAACCATACAAGAAGCGGCTGAGGTCGCTTGGCCTGTTCGGCCTGGAAAAGACTAAAGGGGGAACTCACTGCAGTCCATAACTTTCTCGTGAGGGGAAGAGGATGGGCAAACACTGGTCTCTTCTCTCTGGCAACCAGTGACAGAACCCAAGGGAACGGCATAAAGCTGTGCCAGGGGCGCTTTAGGAAAAAACAACCAGAGCGTGGTTGAGCACTGGAACAGGCTCCCCAAGGAAGTGGGGAGCACTTCCCGAGCACCAAGCCTGCCCGAGTTCAAGAAGCGCTTGGACAACGCTCTCAGACACATGATGGTCTTGGGGACAGTGCTGTGCGGGGCCAGAAGTTGGACTCGATGATCCTTGTGGGTCCCTTCCAGCTTAGCATATCCTGTAACTCGCTGACACCCTCCCCTGCATTCGCGGCGCCACCTGGCATTGCCCTCTGCCGCCCGCCGCCGGTACCGCAGCAATGGCGGCCCCCACGGCCCAAGCGTGAGCCCGACCGCCGACCGCCGCTGCCGTGAGTGGGGACGGACGGACGGACGGACGGACGGGCGGGCGGGCGAGCCTGAGGCGCGGCCATGGCGGGGCCCCACCGCCCGCCCCCCAAGCGGGGCCGGCGCTGCACAAAATGGCGGCCGGGGCGCGGGAGGGCCTGTGGGGCGGCCGCGTCCCAGCGGGGGCGGGAATGGGGGGGCGCAGGGATGGGTTTGATCCAGAGGGGACGCGGCCGAGGCAGCGCAGCAGCGGCTGCGGAGAACGGCAGGGAGTACAGAGGCGACAGGGGTCAAACCAGGGGCAGCGAGCGGTGGCACCGCGGCGAGGGGAGCGGTGCCGTCATGGGGGGCGCGGGGCGGGCTGAGCGAGGAGCCCGAGAGCCTGAGGGCAGTCACCGCACACACCGTCCCGCAGTGCGAGCACCAGGGCCGTGCTGAGGGTGACTGCACTTCAAATACACCTCACCTGCTTCTGGAAAGCCGGACACGAGGCGAGTTTACCTAGCAAGCTACAAACAAGGCCTGATGCGCACAAAATATTAAAGCTGCCGTAAGGACCCGCTCTTTCAACGTTGGTTTGGCCCACGTAGCTATCATTCTCAAAGACACCGCTAGCTTCCAGGCAGGTTTGAGGTGCAGGAGGCGCAGCACACCATTGCTCCTGCCCCATGGCCAGCGGGCCGTGGCAGAAAACATCCCTTGTTTGAAACGAGGCACAGCTTAAAACAGTTTAAAAGAGGCCCAGGCCCCTGGTGCCCTGTGCTGTGGGGAAAGGGTTGACAGAACCACAGCCAGTGGAAACGTGAAGAGGTAGGGCAAACATAAGGCAAGTTATTTGCAGTAACTCGTCTACATTATCAGAAAACTACAGTCAGCTGTACTTTGTAGTTCAGGCACAACTTGTGAAGTGACCAGGTTGTCTTAAGCACATTTAATGTTCAGACATTGCAAAGGAAAGGGATTGCCATGTTTCTTTCTCTAAAAGTCGAAACATTCCAGTTTAAGACTACTCTGATCACTAAACAAGATGAGGTTTCCTACATCCCTTCTTATTGGTTCCTCCTGCTTCCCAGCCTAGTTGGTTTTGACTCAGTTACTTTCTGTTCATTCATATGAACTCTTAAAAGTGCAAGAAGAGAGCACGAGGTATAAGAGCGGGCTGGATTGCTTCTTTTAGGGCCAGATTTTGATAAACTGAAATGTTCAACCAACCAAAAAATTTGCCTCCTCGTTAGCCCAGTCTCACGGGTTGGAGTAATAGCAGGCTGTGACAGCAAGATGGCCCTATTCCACCGCCCAGCTGAACATCGTGCTGTACCTCTTGAATCAGGTTTAGGGATCGACTGGATTTTTGAACGTTGGTTTTTCCAGTGCATCCCAGCTTTCTGGACACGGCATTCCCTGCAGCTTCACGGGCCAGCAGAAGGAGGGAAAGGGACACGAGTGTCCCCTATGCAGCAGCAACTCACAGCTGCCCTTAAAAGCAGTGTTAGACTGCAACGCTCTTAAGTCTAAGCTTTCACTCAAATTTGAGCAGTAACTGATATTTCATGTCATGCAGTAGCCCCATGTTAAGGGGTTCTCAAACTTGACTGGGGGTGTGGTAGAGCAAGATGCGTGCACGTTGACAGATAACAAAATACTGCCTTTCTGGCAGCTTGGTGCCTAGAGACCCTTTTGTGTTCGTTAAGACTTGACAAGAACTGCTGCCCTCACTATCTCAACTTAATTATTTAAAGAGCTAAAATATCCCAGATCAGCCAAATTCCATTAAACACAAAGTGCAAAGAAAAGTTATCTTAAACAAGCAATGTAGCCATTGCAAAGTTGTTGCATTTCTTCCCTTAAGGAAGAAAGGATTGTCATCAAGGGGGGGGTGAAGAGGTTAGTTAAACTTAATGTGTCACTTTTTTGTTGGATGAGCTTTAATTTAGACTACTGTAAATTGAATGAAAAAGCATGGAGAATGGAGATAAGGAGCTTTGGGGATTAAAAATAAAAATAAACCCCAAACCCTTCATTACTATCTTACAGCTTTTTCTAAGTAGTACTTTGCTGTTGCAGTTCTGAAATTAATGAAGTGTGCACGGATTATTGCTGAGCGTATTTTACTTCAAAGCTGGTTATTCCCCAGAAGTCAGAGGCTTTGCATGTCTGTTAGTGCAGTACTTTCCAGGCCACTTTTCTAATACAAACTTCTGGGTTTTGACTCAATGCCAGAGAAGCAAAATAACATCCTTACCTATGCAGCTGTGACCACAACATAAAATCAAGCAGGAAGAAGAGCTGATGCTGGGGGTTGTTTTCACTACACTCAAGGCACTTTTAGAGCTGGCGCTCGCACAAAGAAACAAGGCCACACACACCCTCCCAAGCAGCACTGCTGGTAGGGCACTTGGCCTTTCTTTTATACCTACCACAATTTAAGCCAGCGCAGGTGAATGCAACTTCCCTGTTATACAGAAGAGGTCCATGTGAGCATTGTTATGGCACAGCAGTTTCCCTTCTTTGCCTGTCCTGCCTTAGTTAGTCAGGGGGAGAGGCCTTAGGGCATCTCTGGGGACAGTTTGGTGGCGGCCCAACTTGTGGTTGTTCTGAGAATTAGAAGGGAGCTCTAGATACATACCTGAAGGCTGGCTGCATCAGCTCTAGCCTTCTTGCGTACATCAACCTCACTGCTTGTCCAGCTCCCACCTGTACAGGTGCCACAGAAACAGAAGTCAACAACTGATCTGTGCGAACACTTGACCTTGAAATGCTTGCATATTCAAGCAAGTGGGAGGGGAGAGGGGAAAAAAGGGACTTAGCTGAATTTTTCTATTTGTCTGTAATGCTGTTAGTGATTCAGTCTACAGTTTTGAGCTGTGATTTTGCATAATGAAAAGGTTGCAGAATAAGGCTGTATTGTTTCTTAGTTTCTGGAAGGAGCAGTTATGTGACCATCGAGCTAGTATGGGAGCTAACCTCTTGAAGATGTAGTCTTACTTTTTTCTACTCATCATCTTATAAGGAATAGAAACTCCTTCAGAGTGTGCTTCTGAAAAGTTACTTGATACTCGAGAAAACCTGACATTTTATCAACACTGTTCCAGTTATCAGTTCAATATTGCTTCTTAGTCTTTTCCCTGTTGTGAACAATTTGAAAAGCATCACCAGCTACTTTATACTGACATTTGCCTTTCAGCACGTTTCAGAGATGCTTTCTGGTATTAGAATGTCTTAAGTGACAAAATACTTTTATCTGGTGTAGGGGTGGTTTTTTAATAGCTCCACAGCAGTAATAACACTTGTGTTTAACCCCCTCAGCCCCCTTCTCTCAGGGCAGAGTAATATGCTTTTCTTAGTATTGCTATATTTTCGTTAAGTGATGGCATAGCATCCCACCAGCTGAAATATTCCCTGTTTCGAGAGCTGTCTCAGAGTACTCTCTGCATGTCCTCAGTACAGAGCAGATAATAGGGGTTTTGCCTTGCCTTTCTTACACCTCCTTACACCAAATAAAAAGTCAATCCTGACGTTAATTTGATCACTGTGCTAAACATAGTAAGCCCAATTATCCCTTACATCAAAATGTATTCTGCCATCATATAATTAGACATCTTGTAGATCAAACTGGAGGCACGTGAACAGGGAATGTTTTCTTTTTTCCTATCTGTAGCTGTATCTGCTTTGAACACTGGCTTTGTAAGCTTCTCCCATTAACTAACAAAGAGATAGAAATCTTCCCCATCCCCGTGTGCCTTCTCCAGATGCGGATTAAGTTCATTAATGGCAACAGCAATCTCTCAGACTGTCTGACAAGTGTTGATCTATGCTCCAGCACTAGTGCAGATTCTCACTTTGATGCTGTTAAATGAGTTAGAGCCCAGAGCATGGGTTTGAAGCAGGTTGTCTCCATGTACTGCACTTTGCCTTGAACATGAAGTTTTCAGATGGATCATCAGAGGCTGCACCACAGGTGAATGCCTAACTCTAGCTGGCAGAGGTCTTAACACAGTCCCAAAGACCTTGCACCAGCGCTTTTCAGTCTTTTAGCAGTCTACAAGAGCATCTACAACTGGCTATGTGGTGTTGGTGAACACCACAAACTGAAAGCGTAAACACAGGGTGTTTACACCAAGGTCTGGACTACTCCAAAAGACATGGTCATCTGAACAACATTTGTTTTAATGTAACATGAGAAATCATTCACCCTGAGGCTGGGAAGTGTATGTAGGGTACTTAGGGGGTAGGAGAAAAGACGAAATACTCAGAATGCGAAGACTTTTGCAGATACAGAGTGACTAAACTGCCTAACTAGAGTTTGTTTTGGCAGGTTATGAGCAGAAGGAATACAAGTCTTGCCAGAGACATAAATTAACAGATTTGTGTCCTGTTCGTGGCATAAGAGAAGCATGAAAGAAGTTTTAACATGAAAACCAGGCACAGAAACGTAAGTTAAAAGGTTAGAGAACTGTGAGAACCTACTCTGGAAAGCATGTGAGTTAAGAGTGATTAGGACTGATTAAATTGATTTAGAGTCAGTTCAGATACTTTCCATACAAGTGTGGGTTTTTAGAGATTCTTACTGGGCTGCTTTTTAGCCTACTGGGGAAAATAGGATAAGCCAGTATGAGAAAGACAGACCTAGCCAGGTAAAAAGTCAAGCATAATGTAGATGGACACACAGCAAGGCAAACAAGTAATGAAATTCCTTATTTAGAAGGAGGGTGGTTTTTCCTGAGGTCTTAAAACAAGGAACAAGTATTGTCTTAAAAAGTCCTTCATGTCCTGTCAGCTCGGTGCAGACATCACTAAGTAAAGGTCTTTGACTGCATCCTCTGATCTCTGTTATCGTTTTCTTCTGACCCCTCCACAAAGTTAAGATCCCTCCAAAACACAGAGTTAGCATCTCTTCAGTAGTCTTCCCTGAAATCAGCCTTGCCAAGCAAGATGGAATGATTTTTCCTCTGTGCTTTCTGCCCGCTGTTTTCTCCAGCCATAATAAAGGCAGATTTCAAAGAAACACTTGCCACGTTTAATGGAACTGGTTGGCCAGTAAGTATGTTATTAATGAGCATTCTGAGGAAGGAGACACAGCCTATCTGTGTAACTGAGTGACACAGCACTGTTTTCACATGACTTAAGCATTTAACTTTCAGTCAATAAAAGCTTTAGGCTTGAATTTTTTCCTTGACCCCTTAATACCATCTGTTGTTGGGATCCAGAGAGCTGCAATATGAGCTGTGCATACACCAACCCATTTTGACTACTGAGTTTAGATGGAAAAATGATGTTGCTTATTCCACTAGGATGGGAAAGCAACTGTCAGCCCTTGGAGCTACAATGTGATCTGCTGCAAGAAGTTTGTGAAAATTCTCTGCTAAGTAGAGAGCATATGAGTTATTAGAGCTGCAGTTACCTAAGATTAATCCTGACACCCAGGAACGTTTCCTTGGATTTTACTGGATATGTACAATTGTGGACACAGTTGTACAAGCACTGAGAGAGAAAGCTAAAAGCTTCATGCTTCATAGCCCCGCTCTACAGTTAAAAACATACAGCACAGTAGCAGAAGCAAAAGGGAAAGTTGCCACGTGCAACTTCATAGTTACGTTAGTTCTAGCAATTGCATGGACGCAAAACTGCTCTAGAAGTGCTGGTTTTGCTGTAGTACAAGGTTTTTACACATAGCACAGTTAGAAA